AAGTGTTCATTATAACAAAATAGGCTTAAGCTCAGTAAGGGTAGAAACTATCTCATTCTCACTCTGTAATACTAGCTCCTGGCACAAAGGAGAACACTCAGTAAACATTTGTTAAATGAAATATATCACAGTTATCAGTCATTGGCATATAAATTTCCTGATGCCATAATAGATATCTAGAAATACTTAATTTTCAATTTGTTTTTGGGTTTTTTTTTTTTAAGAGGGCGTCTTTGTCACCCAGGCTGGAGTGCAGTGGTGCTATCTAGGCTCACTGCAACCTCTGCCTCCCAAATTCAAGCATTTCTTGTGCCTCAGTCTCCTTAGCAACTGGGACTACAAGCACCACCACCATGCTTCCTAACTTTTTATATTTTAGTAGCAACGGGGTTTCACCACGTTGCCTGGGCTGGTCTTGAACTCCTGAACTCAGGCAGTCTGCCTGCTCAGCCTTATGTTGTATTTTTTAATTCTACTTACATATGTTTCTTTATTTTATATTGACAAATACCACATGATAAAGATCATGTATTCATATTCTCACTTTAAGCTGGGCATAGTGCTCACACCAATAATCCCAGCATTTTGTGGGGCAGAGGCAGTAGGATCACTTGAGCTCAGGAGCCTGGGCAACAGAGTGAGACCCTGTCTCTACAAAAATTTAAAATTTAGCCAGGCATGGTGGTACGCACCTGCAGTCCTAGCTACTCTGGAGGCAGAAGCAGGAAACGGGCTTGAACCTAGGAATTTGAGGCTGCACTGAGCTATGATTGTGCCACTGTGCTCCAGCCTGAGCAATAGACCAAGACCCTGTCTTTAAGATAATAATAAAAAAATATTGCCATTTGGCCCAAAACACCATCTTCCAGTAATTCGCCAAAATGACTAACACAAAGGGAAAGAAGAGAGGCATCCAATATATGTTCTCTAGGCCTTGTAGAAAACATGGAGTTGTCCTTTGGCCACATACATGCAAAGCTATAAGAAATGTGATATTGTAGACATCAAGGGAGTGGGTACTGTTCAAAAAGGAATACCCCACAGTGTTACCATGGCAAAACTGGAAGAGTTTACAGTGATACCCAGCATGCTGTTGGCATTGTTGTAAACAAACAAGGGCAAGATTCTTGCCAAGAGAATACTTGTGCTTATCAAGTGCATTAAGCACTCTAAGAACAGAGATTGCTTCCTGAAATGCATGAAGGAAAATGATAAGAAAAAGAAGGAAGCCCAAGAGAAAGGTGCCTGGGTTCACCTGAAGTGCCAGCCTGCTCCACTCAGAGAAGTACACTTTAGGAGAACCAATGGGAAGGAGCCTGGGCTACTGAATTCATGACATAGTAGGTGTTCTTAAGAAAAGAAAAAAAAAAACCCTCTAGACTATACAAAAAGAATTCTCACTCTACAGAAAATGAAAGTGAGAGTTAAGGAAATTTAGTAATTTGTTTATGATCATATAAACAGTGAGTAACAGAACTGAGTCTAAAATTCAAGTCTTCAAATGTGAAGTTTAGAGTTATTTTTCTTGGCCAAGGGTGTGTTTGGTTAAAGGCTAGTTGAGTTCTATTTGCATTAGAATTTTTGGAGTTAAACTCCCAGCCTGTGGACACTCCCTTCAAGGTGAGAGATGACTGACTGTTGAGGCAATCTTCCTGTAGGCTTCTTTCCCTAGTTGGGTTGCGGTTGAAGAGTGGTATGATTTCAGCTGGCAGTGCAGAGAGTAGGTCTCTGGGTATTTGCCAAGCTATATGACCTGGCACTCACAACTATGCAGTGTTTATTGAAGACATGGGAGAGAGATGCTCTAGCCAGGGAGCAGTCATTCTGCCTTCATAATCATAAACTCTTACATCATGTCACATCCACAAGCTGATTACCTCGCCTCTGCCAAATTGCTTTCACTTGATTATCTATGCCCATTTGCCATCAGGCTAGATATTAAATATTATAGGAAACAATCCTATCTAACTTGCATCTGTTGTAAGGATATTGTGAGGCACTATTCGTTACAATGCACCATGTTTTTTATGAAAATCTCTTGAGAAAAAACTATCAGACCATAATACAAAGAATTATTTTGCCTCTCCTGAGAAATTTCTTTGTTTTTATCTTATGGACATTGTGAATGTTTAACTTAACTGTCGCTGGTTAGCTGCCAAAAAGCTTAGGGCCAAATTTGTGGCCCACCCATAACAAATGTGCTCTATGCCTCATTAACTTCATTCTTGGCTCCAGTTTATGTCTCTCCTCTAGTTATTCTTAAGAAAATCCTAATTCATGCCATCTTATTATATATATATTTTTTTCTTTTTTCTTATAAGCAGGCTTATGTTGTTGCTGAGGTCGTCAGATTATGACATACTATGTCTACGTAAAACTGTGTTGGATACCTCTTCATTTACTTTAGCTTTTTTTTCTTGAGGGGTGTATTGATTTTTCATATAGATTTTGCAGTGTCTCGTTACATGAAAATGGTTATATCATAAAATTATTTCTTAATACTGTAGTCAAGTGGTAAAATAAGTGGTCTAATGGCCAGAATTGATTAAATTGCCAAGCTGTAGGACCTGGCTCTCACAACTACGCAGTGTTTATTGAAGACATGGGAAAGGGCTGTTGTAGCCAGGTAACACTCATTCCGCCTTTATAATTATAAACTCTTACATCAAGTCACATCAACAAGCTGATTACCTAGCGTCTGCCAAATTGCTTTCACTTGATTGATCTATGCCCATGTCATAGATCTAGTCTATGTCTAGATGTCATAACTCTAGTCTTGTCTTTTTACAACATTATCACTGTTTTCTTATAATATGCTTTGTTTCGCACTCTTAATCTGCATGCAACAGTTTATTGCTGTGTGATTTTCAGAAATAGTGCCATGCTGCCAGGTCAGTGCATAACAGTTAACTCTCTTAGGCTCAAATATTCTGCACCCATCAGAGTTGTCTCACTTTGGGTAGTTACAAGCATATTAATCTCATTACACAACTTGTCTCTTAAGTTAGTCATTCTGTTATTTAGATAAGATAATGTGAATGGATATTTGTTTTCAAACCTCATCTCCTTTGATTGGTTTGGAGCTCTATCTGGATTTTCTGATTATTTTATTAATATCATCTAATTGATAAATATTATTATACAACTTTTTAAACTCTTCTAGTACTTTCAAGTAAAATTATTTGGCCCTCTCTACAACTCTCGTGGTATGTAAGGTGGATATGCCTTTTTTAGAGATGACGTATAAAATCTTTTAATCATTTTGTATGCCACCTGTAAAAAAGGCATATACTTGTTTGCAAAAACAAGGACAAAGTCATTTAAATGATGGCTCAAGATGATACCACCAAATCATTGGTAAAGCTAGGGTTAGACCCAGGTTTCCAGAATCTTATCCCATGCTACCTTTTAAAAGAAGTCCTAGCTTATATTGTAAACGTTACATCATCTTGCTCATACCCCTTGAGGCTAAAGTTCTGAAAAAGGCAAACCCATGTTATATCATTCATGCTCATGGCAGGACAGAATCAGGAATGAATTTCTTTTGTAGTAGTCTCATGATTTTCTGTTTTTAAAATTACAGTTCCTTTTAATTAAAACCCTAATCAGTATCACGTTTCATTATGGAAGGAGGAAGCAATATTTTATCTTATCTTTTGAAAATTAATGTTGAAATGGAAACTGTTTCCCTTGGTAATTAGTAATTTTTTTCTTTAGAGTCTTTGAATTCATCTTTAAGATAAAAATAATTTGTGCTCACTGCAACCTCCACCTCCCGGGAAAAATAATAATAATAATAATTTGTTATCATTATGCATATTCATTAAAGAGCCAAATAATATAGTTAATGCTATGGCATTTGGTACAACACTAGCTTTAATTTTAACCAATCTCTGCACTTAAAGAGGATATTTAAAATTCATGCTTACTGTGTACATGGCAAATTTCCTGTTTTTACATGAATGTGTACATTACATGTAGCACATAAGCTGGAATTTCTTACAGTTACAGTTGACCCTTGAACAACTGTAACTAAGAAATTACAGGGGCTAGGAGTGCCAACCCCCTATGCTGTGAAAAATCTAGGTATAACTTTTTTTTTAAAGACAGGGTTTCACCATGTCGGTCAGGCTGGTCTTGAACTCCCGACCTCAGGTGATCCACCCAACTTGGCCTCCAAAGTGCTTGGATTATAGGCGTGAGCCACTACGCTCGGCCTAACTTTTTTTTTTTTTTTTTTTTTTTGAAATAGAGTCTTGCTCTGTCACCCAGGCTGGAGTACAGTAGCACAATCTCAGCTCACTAAAACCTCCACCTCCTGGGTTTAAGCATTCTCCCACCTCAGCCTCTTGAGTAGCTGAGATTACAGGCATGCCCCACCACACCTGGTTAATTTTTGTATTTTTAGTAGAGACAGGGTTTCACCATGTTGGCCAGGCTGGTCTCAAACTCTTGACCTCAAGTGATCCACCCACCTTGGCCTCCCAAGTGCTGTGATTTCCGGCATGGACCACCACACCCAGCCTAGGTGTAAGTTCTGACTCCCTAAAAACTTAACTATTCGTAGCCTCCTGTTGACCAGAAGCCTTACCAATAACGTAGTCAATAAATGCATGTTTTGTGAAAGGTATTATATACTGCATTCTTACAATAAAGTAAGCTACGGAAAAATCTTAAGAAAATCATAAAGAAAAGAAAATATATTGACTATTCATTAAGTGGAAATGAATCATCATAAAGGTCTATATCCTCCTCATCTTCATGTTGAGTAGGCTGAAGAGGAGAAGGAAGAGGAACAATTGGTCTTGCTGTCTCAGTGGTGGCAGAGACGGAAGAAAATCCATGTTTAAGTAGATCTGCACAAATCAAACCCACATCGTCCAGGGGTCAACTATGTATTTCTTTACCACAACCATATAAAAGTAATTACTATTTTCTAGCCCCATTTTACAGCCGGGTATTATATTAGACAGTAATATTGTCTTCTGCCTCTCCTTCAGCTTCTGGAATTTCTGAGCAGCCCCGGCCAGTACAAGATGGACCCCGTAGTCTTGAGTTACATGGACAGTCTACTGCGACAATCAGATGTCTCACTACTGGATCCGCCATGCTGGCTCAATGACCGTATTATTGGATTTGCCTTTGAGTACTTTGCCAACAGTCAGTTTCATGACTGCTCTGATCATGTCAGTTTCATTAGTCCCGAAGTCACTCAGTTCATCAAGTGCACTAGCAATCCAGCAGAGATGTCCCTGTTTCTTGAACCACTGGACCTCCCCCACAAGAGAGTTGTATTTTTAGCCATCAATGATAACTCCAACCAGGCAGCTGGAGGAACCCACTGGAGTTTATTGGTCTACCTCCAAGATAAAAATAGCTTTTTTCATTATGATTCCCATAGCAGGAGCAACTCAATTCATGCAAAGCAGGTGGCAGAGAAACTGGAGGCTTTCTTAGGCAGAAAAGAAAACAAACTGGCCTTTGTGGAAGAGAAAGCCCCTGCCCAACAAAATAGCTATGACTGTGGGATGTATGTGATATGTAACACTGAGGCCTTGTGTCAGAACTTCTTTAGGCAACAGACAGAATCACTGCTGCAGCTACTCACCCCTGCTTACATCACGAAGAAAAGGGGAGAATGGAAAGATCTCATTACCACACTTGCTAAAAAGTAGCTATTGAAATATATTTGTGACTTTTGAAGGCTCCTCTTTCTGCCCTTACCCATTTGTTGGATGGCTGCAATCTCAGTGCCTGGGGGAAGATGCCTGGTAGAGGAAAGTTTAATACTCTTTTTCCTGAAAGAATATTATCCTGTGTTATCCCCATGGAAAGTTTCACTTTAACCCTAACTTGAGAGCAATATGTTCTGTGAAAATATCTTGAAATTGTACACCAAAACTTTACAGCCAACTTATTTGGACATTTATTACACATGAGGTTCAAGTAAGACTTTTCTTATTGGCATAAAATTAATATCCTTTGGTCTCCCTTATCCACATTGGCTTATTCTGAAGGAAAAGCAGTGATCTGTAAAACAAATCAAGAATATATTAAATCTAGAAGAATGCAAGGAAGAAAACTATAAAACAGGACCAAAAACTTGTTGCACAGCCTACATGATTAAGAGATCAACTGGCTGGAGCAGATCAAGGCCTAACTTCATTCTAAGACCTAAATATTATGAGACTGAGCTATTCAATTTTATGTGATAATCTTGTCCATTCACCATGCACAGGCTTTCCAGCTATCTGCATAACGTTTGCAAATATTTGATAAAGATGATGTTAGCCCATCTTCCTCCATCTGATTGCTGGAATGCTTGAAGAAAGGGGAAATCTTGAGTAACTTCATTAAAATTAATGTCTGTGGTGGACTTCTCAGTTTGCTGATGATTGGGTAGACTTGCTACTCTGGATTAATAACTGCTTTTCTCTGCCTTGTCTATTAGCCATGCGCATACTTCTTTCTTTTATCCAAAGTTCTTTGATTCTAAAACTCATATAACTCAAGGTTACCTGTTATTTCAGGTAAATGTCCTTGCTTTTTGATAGCTATGGGTTTTGCTCTCTATCCTTAATCCTGGCAGAATTGTTTTTAGTTATGTCATGGTAATTTCAGGATGATTTTTGCATCTGAAACTTACAGACTTAGAGTTGGTTTGTTTTTTAAATATAAAGGAAGAAAAGTGACATTTCTCAGCCCTTTTACTTAATTTAAAATGCAGACAATGTAATTTTTTTAAATGTGGAACCAAGAGAAAAGGAAATGCTATCTCTCCAAAAGCACTGATATGTTTCAGATGTTTCAAATAGTAAACAACCAGATGATATGTTGGGTATATACGTTAATTCTGTTCCTAATGAGAATTAGATTGCAAGGCATATTAGACTTGAAAACCAAAGATTAGCTTCAGCTATGAAACTTATTTCAGCTACCTCTCCAGCCTAACCCTGTCCTCAGCCCACATGGCCCAAAATAACCTCACCACTCAGTGACCACAGAGAAAGTAACTTGGTTCCTTTTAGCCAAGAAGGGAAAACAGAGTAAGTGTAAATAAGTGCAGGTTACATAGCAGGCCTGAGTGAGCAGGAGTTGAAACTAGAAGTCAAAGAGAAAGCTATCAAAAAAAGTTTCCATTTCAAGTCGGTACATTTTGGATAAAAACCAGTCCTAATGGAAGATGGGGCTAGGAAAAAGATTAGGAATTGGCAGTCATCCATAGAGGTGAAATACAGAGGGAGGGACAGCAAGAGAAGTGACAAAGGTCGCTGATAGGCCACAAGTGTAGATAAAGATAAGAAAACAATGTTATTTCAGTGACTGTTGACTTAGGCAGTCAATCAATAGACTATTAAAGTCAAATCTTCTCTGGGAAAAGTTATCTTCCTGACAATGCAAAGTATGTTTATTTAAATATCAGAGTATCTCCAATTTGAGAGTTAAAGCGTGTGAGAGCAATCTTTCCTAACTCCCTCAGATTCATTTCATAAATAAATTATTTTTTTAATAAATTATTTTTTTAACTAGTCTTTTAAATATATATAGGAAAAATATATATATATACACATGTATAGACATATATATACATATACATGTATGTATGTGTATACATATATATTAAATCTAGGGTCACCTTTTCTAAATGCATTAGTCAGATTGGACTGAGCCACAGATTAGTGTCCTCCTACGAAATTTTGAGTATGTCATTTGTAAATGTTAGCATTATAAATGACAGGAGAATGTAAGAATTGTATTGCACTGATGCTTTAGTACCCAATAAGTTACACGCCTGCTTGACCACAAACCATTCATGTTACATGACACAAAATAGGAAAAAAATCTTTTGCTGATATTGCATTCCCTTCTCTCTTAAAGTATCTATTCTGCAAAAGGGATCCATTCTGCAAAATTAATCAAAATATTCAAAAGGAAAGCAGGTTTTTCAAAGCCAGGTTAAGCAATTATCAAACTGAACTAACCTGTTTTTAGATATCCTGTTGTATTGCCCAGTAAGTATACTTACACTTGTCCAACCCGTGTCTTTCAATATGGAATTCAGAAAGGTTAATATATGTAAACGCAGCTATAAGGGTTGTAAAAAATATAACTATCAGTGGGTTTCCTGTGTAGTAGTGTTTAAAACACAAATATTTCAACCATTTGGTGAGGTGTATGTTGAAGTTCACAAGCACTGGTCCCAACTAGATTAGATAAAGTGGATTATATTTCTGATATGTACCTTATGATTTTGACTATACTATAATTCTATATCCATATTGACCATATGGTTTAGTAACACAGTTTATTGAAATGACAAAGTATTTCTCAGTTACATGGGGTAGGCCAGACGTGGTGGCTCACACCTGTAATCCTAGGACTTCGGGAAGCCAAGGCAGGTGGATCACCTGAGGTCAGGAGTTCGAGACCAACCTGTCCAACATGGCAAAATCCCATCTCTACTAAAAATATATACATTAGCCCGGCATAGCCAGGCACGGTGGCTAACACCTGTAATCCCGGCACTTTGGGAGGCCAAGGTGGGCAGATCACCTGAGGTCAGGAGTTCAAGATTCAGCCCAGCCTAGCCAACATGGCAAAGCCTGGTCTCCACTAAAAATACAAAAATTAGCCAGGTGTGTTGGCGGGTGCCCATAATCCCAGCTACTCAGGAGACAGGCAGGAGAATTGCTTGAACCCGGGAGACAGAGGTTGCAGCGAGCTGAGATCGCACCACTGCACTCCAGCCTGGGCAACAGAGCAAGACTCTATTTCAAAAAAAGAAAATACTTAACAGAAATGTATATTCTATAATGTTAAAACATGAATGTCAAATCCAGGCTCTGTCAGTGAGATTCGGTAGTTTCATCTACAAAATGAAGACAGTAGTTTGTTTAGGCAGGTATTATAAGGTTAAATATCATATGTAAAGTACATAGTAAATATCACATGTAAAGTACACAGTAGGCACTAAAACCTTATTTTCCTTCTGTCCTACTACTCAGTTCCATTTTAAGACTAATAAGTTTGAAAACCTAGTTTTACATTGCTATGCAGCTAAACAGCTATGTAAAAAATGGCTGATAATTACTGTTATGTACAGAAGAGAAATTTATTCAAGGATTGTAAAAAGCAACAACTAACCTTTCTATCACTCTGTAATGTGCAGGGTGCTTTATGCACACATTATGCAAGTGCCTTGCATATTATATTTATATGCATCATATATATATATCACCATATATATAAAGTAGCTTGTACATTTTTGAGGTTCTATAAAAATACATAATTTGATTAATTCTTACGTTCTCATGTTTCAACAGGTACTGTTATTCCCATTTTATAAATAAAAAACTCAGAAGCTCAGTCACATGGCCTCTATCTCATCTCACACTTTTTCCACCTATTCCTTTCTCCCTGTCCTAGAAAATGGGAGGAACTCCACACCTGAACATTTTATTTATTTTTTATTGCATTTTAGGTTTTGAGGTACCTGTGAGGAACATGCAAGATTGCTGCATAGGTACACACATGGCAGTGTAATGTGCTGCCTTCCTCCCCATCACCTATATCTGGCATTTCTCCCCATGCTATCTCTCCCCAACTCCCCACCCCCTGCTGTCCCTCCCCTATTTCCCCCGACAGACCTCATTATGTGATGCTCCCCTCCCTATGTCCATGTGTTCTCATTGTTCAACACCCACCTATCAGTGAGAACATGTGGTGTTTGATTTTCTGTTCTTGTGTCAGTTTGCTGAGAATGATGGTTTCCAGGTTCATCCATGTCACTACAAAGGACATGAACTCATCGTTTTTTATGCCTGCATAGTATTCCATGGTGTATATGTGCCACATTTTCCCTGTCTAGTCTATCATCGGTGGGCATTTGAGTGGTTCCAGGTCTTTGTTATTGTAAACAGTGCTGCAATGAACATTTGTGTGCATGTGTCCTTATAGTAGAAAGAATTATAATCCTTTGGATATATACCCAGTAATGGGATTGCTGGGTCAAATGGAATTTCTATTTCTAGGTCCTTGAGGAATCGCCACACTGTCTTCCACAATGGTTGAACTAATTCACACTCCCACCAACAGTGTAAAAGTGTTCCTATTTCTCCACATCCTCTCCAGCATCTGTTGTCTCCAGATTTTTTAATGATCGCCATTCTAACTGGCATGAGATGGTATCTCAATGTAGTTTTGATTTGCATTTCTCTAATGATCAGTGATGATAAGCACTTTTTCATATGTTTGTTGGCCTCATGTATGTCTTCTTTTGAAAAGCATCTGATATCCTTCGCCCACTTTTGAATGAGCTTGTTTTTTTCTTATAAATCTCTTTTAGTTCTTTGTAGATTCTAGATATCAGCCCTTTGTCAGATGGGTAGATTGCAAAATTTTTTCCCATTCTGTTGGTTGCCAATTCACTTTAATGACTGTTTCTTTTACTGTGCAGAAGCTGTGGAGTTTGATTAGGTCCCATTTGTCTATTTTGGCTTTTGTTGCCAATGCTTTTGGTGTTTTGGTCATCCATGCCTATGCCTATGTCCTGAATGGTTTTGGCTAGATTTTCTTCTAGGGTTTTTATGATGTTAGGTCTTATGTTTAAGTCTTTAATCCATCTGGAGTTAATTTTAGTGTAAGGTGTCAGGAAGGGGTCCAGTTTCTGCTTTCTGCACATGGCTAGCCAGTTTTCCCAACACCATGTATTAAACAGGGAATCCTTGCCCCATTGCTTGTTTTTGTCAGGTTTGTCAAAGATCAAATGGTTGTAGATGTGTGGTGTTGCCTCTGATGGCTCTGTTCTGTTCCATTGGTCTAGATCTCTGTTTTGGTACCAGTACCATGCTGTTTTGATTACTGTAGCCTTGTAGTATACTTTGAAGTCTGGTAGTGTGATGCCTCCAGTTTTGTTCTTTTTGCTTAGAATTGACTTGGCTATGTGGGTTCTCTTTTGGTTTCATATGAAGTTTAAGGTGGTTTTTTTTTCCAGTTCTGTGAAGAAGGTCAATGGTAGCTTGCTAGGGATAGCACTGAATCTGTAAATTACTTTGGGCAGTATGGTCATTTTCACGATACTGATTCTTCCTAACCATGAGCATGAAATGTTTCTCCATCTGTTTGTGTCCTCTCTTATTTCCTTGAGCAGTGGTTTGCAGTTCTCCTTGAAGAGGTCCTTTACATTCCTTGTTAGTTGTTTTCCTAGGGATTTTATTCTCTTTGTAGCAATTGTGAATGACAGTTCATTCTTGATTTGGCTCTCTTTAAGTCTGTTATTGGTGTATAGGAATGCTTGTGATTTTTGCACATTGATTTTGTATCCTGAGACTTTGTTGAAGTTGCTTATCAGTTTCAGGAGATTTTGGGCTGAGACAATGGGGTCTTCTAAATATACAATCGTGTCGTCTGCAAATAGAGACAATTTGACTTCCTCCTTTCCTAATTGAATACCCTTTATTTCTTTTTCTTGCCTGATTGCTCTGGCTAGAACTTCCAATACTATATTGAATAGGAGTGGTGACAGGGCATCCTTGTCTAGTGCCAGATTTCAAAGGGAATGCTTCCAGTTTTTGCCCATTCAGTATGATATTGGCTGTTGGTTTGTCGTAAATAGCTTTTATTATTTTGAGATATGTTCCATCAAAACCTAGTTCATTGAGGGTTTTTAGCATAAAACGCTGTCGAATTTTGTCAAAGGCCTTCTCTGCATCAATTGAGATAATCGTGGTTTTTGTCTTTGGTTCAGTTTATGTGGGGAATTACATTTATAGACTTGCATATGTTGAACCAGCCTTGCATCCTTGGGAAGAAGCCTACTTGATCATGGTGGATAAGCTTTTCGATGTGCTGTTGCAATTGGTTTGCCAATATTTTATTGAAGATTTTTGCGTCTATGTTCATCATGGATATTGGCCTGAAGTTTTCTTTTCTTGCTGAATCTCTGCCAGGTTTTGGTATCAGGATGATGTTGGTCTCATAAAATGATTTGGGAAGGATTTCCTCTTTTTGGATTGTTTTGAATAGTTTCAGAAGGAATGGTACCAGCTCCTCTTTGTATGTCTGCTAGAATTTGACTGTGAACACATCTGGACCTGGGCTTTTTTTGGGTGGTAGGCTCTTAATTGCTGCCTCAATTTCTGCCCTTGTTATTAGTCCATTCAGGGTTTCGACTTCTACCTCATTTAGGCTTGGGAGGATGCAAGTGTTCAGGAATTTATCCATTTCTTCCAGGTTTACCAATTTATGTGCATAGAGTTGTTTGTAATAATCTCTGATGATGGTTTGTATTTCTGTGGAATCTGTGGGGATATCCCCTTTATCATTTTTTATTGCATCTATTTGATTAGTCTCTCTTTTCTTTTTTATTAATCTGGCTAGTGGTCCATTTATTTTATTGATCTTTTCGAAAAACCAGCTCCTGGATTTATTGATTTTTTTCAAAGGGTTTTTTTTGTGTCTCTTATCTCCTTCAGTTCTGCTCTGATCTTAGTTATTTCTTGTCTTCTGCTAGGTTTTGAGTTTTTTTGATCTTGCTTCTCTAGCTCTTTCAATTTTGACAATAGGGTGTCAATTTTAGATCTTTCCTTACTTCTCATGTGGGCATTTATTGCTATATATTTTCCTGTAGACACTGCTTTAAATGTGTCCCAGAGATTCTGGTATGTTGTGTCTTCATGCTCGTTGGTTTTGAAGAACATCTTTATTTCTGCCTTCATTTCATGGTTTATCCAGTCAACATTCAAGAGCCAGTTGTTCAGTTTCCATGAAGCTGTGCGGTTCTGAGTTAGTTTCTGAATTCTGAGCTCTAACTTGATTGCACTGTGGTCTGAGAGACTGTTTGTTATGATTTCCATTCTTTTGCATTTGCTGAAGAGTGATTTACTTCCAATTATGCGGTCAGTTTTACAGTAGGTGTGATGTGGTGCTGAGAAGAATGTATATTCTGTGGATTTGGGGTGGAGAGTTCTGTAAATATCTATTAGGTTTGCTTGGTCCAGGTCTGAGGTCAAGTTCTGGATATCCTTGTTAATTTTCTGTCTGGTTGATCTGTCTAATATTGGCAATGGGGTGTTAAAGTCTCCCACTGTTATTGTGTAGGAGTCTAAGTCTCTTCATAAGTCATTAAGAACTTGCTTTATGTATCTGGGTACTCCTGTATTGGGTACGTATATATTTAGGATCCGTAGCTCTTCTTGTTGCATTGATCCTTTTACCATTATGTAATGTCCTTCTTTGTCTCTTTCAATCTTTGTTGGTTTAAAGTCTATTTTATCAGAGACGAGAATTGCAACTCCTGCTTTTTTTTTTTTTGCTCTCCATTTGCTTGGTAAATCTTCCTCCATCCCTTTATTTTGAGTCTTTGTGTATCCTTGCATGTGAGATGGGTTTCCTGGATACAGCACACTGGTGGGTTTTGGCTTTTTATCCAATTTGCCAGTCTGTGTCTTTTGATTGGGATATTTAGCCCATTTACATTTAGGGTCAATATTGTTATGTGTGAATTTGATCCTGCCATTTTGATGCTAGCTGGCTATTTTGCCCATTAGTTGATGCCGTTTCTTCATTGTGTTGATGCTCTTTACCATTTGATATGTTTTTGGAATGCCTGGTACCGGTTGTTCCTTTCTATGTTTAGTGCCTTTTTCAGAGCTCTTGTAAAACAGGCCTGGTGATGATGAAATCTCTGAGTAATTGCTTGTTCATAAAGGATTTTATTTCTCCTTCACTTATGAAGCTTAGTTTGGCTGGATATGAAATTCTGAGTTGAAAGTTCTTTTCTTTAAGGATGTTGAATATTGGCCCCCACTCTCTTCTGGCTGGTAGGGTTTCTGCTGAGAGATCTACTGTGAGTCTGATGGGCTTCCCTTTGTGGGTAACTCGACCTTTCTCTCTGGCTACCCTTAGCATTTTCTCCTTCATTCCACCCTGGTGAATCTGATGATTATGTGCCTTGGGGTTGCTCTTCTTGCGGAATATCTTTGTGGTGTTCTCTGTTCCTGGACTTGAAGATTGGCTTGCCTTTCTAGGTTGGGGAAGTTTTTCTGGATAATATCCTGAAGAGTATTTTCCAGCTTGGATTTATTCTCTCCATCACATTCAGGTACACCTATCAAATGTAGATTAGGTCTTTTCACATAGTCCCATATTTCTTGGAGATTTTATTCATTCCTTTTTACACTTTTTTCTCTAATCTTGCCTTCTCGTTTTATTTCATTGAGTCGATCTTCAACCTCTGATATCCTTTCTTCTGCTTGGTCAATTCAGCTGTTGTGTATGCTTCACAAAGTTCTTGTGTTGTGTTTTTCAGCTCCATCAATTCACTTATATTCCTCTCTAAGCTGTTTATTCTCATTAGCATTTGGTCAAATCTTTTTTCAAGGTTTTTAGTTTCTTTGCATTGGGTTAGAAAATGTTCTTTTAGCTCAAAGATGTTTCTTATTACCCACCTTCTGAAGCCTGATTTTGTCAATTCATCACACTCATTCTCCATCCAGCCTTGTTCCCTTGCTAGTGAGAAGTTATGATCCCTTGTAGGAGGAGAGGCATTCTGGTTTTGGGTGTTTTCATCCTTTTTGTGCTGGTGTCTTCCCATCTTTGTGGATTTATCCACCTGTTGTCTTTGTAGTTGTTGACTTTAAGATTGGGTCTCTGAGTGGACATCCAGTTTGTTGATGATGAAGTTATTTCTTTCTATTTCTTAGTTTTCTTTCTAACAGTCAGGCCCCTCTGCTGTAGGACTGCTGGAGGTCCACTCCAGACCTTTCTTGCCTGGAGCTCACCTGCAGCCACCACAGAACAGTAAGGGTTGCTGCCAGTTTCTTCTTCTGCTATCTTTGTCCCAGAAGGATACCTGCCAGATGTCAGTCTGAGCTCTCCTTTATGAGGTGACTCTTTGGATCTATGTGGGTCAGGGAGCTGCTTGAGGAGACAGTCTGTCCTTTATAGGAGCTCAAGTGCTGAGCTGTGAGCTCTGTTGTTCATCCAGAGCTGCTAGGCAGGTACGTTTAAGTTTGCTGCAGCAGAACTCAAACACCTTTTTTTTTCCCCAGGTCCTCTGTCCCGGGGAGTTAGGGCTTTATTTATAAGTTTCTGTCATGCTGCTGCCTTTTTTCAGGGCTGCCCTGCCCAGCGAGGAGGCAGCCTAGTCACAGTTGGCCTGCAGAGGCTTTGCTGAGCCGCCGTGGGCTCCCCCCAGCTGCTGTGTGAACTTCCCTGCAGTCCTGTTCATACGGGTGTAGTTAGAACTGCCTCGGCAATGGTGGCCCACCTCTGTAATGGTGGACTCTCTCTGTAATGGCAGGCTGCCTTGGCAATGACAGGCTACGTCTGTAGTGATGGACTGCCTCAGTAATGGCAGACGCCCTGCCCCATAGAGCTGGTCCGTCCTGGGTTCAGCTGTGCTTGCTGTGAAACACTCAGCCCAGAGCATTTCAGATTGCTGTTTTTTTGTGGGGATGGGACCAGCCAAGCCTGATCACCTGGCTCCCTGCCTCAGACCCCCCTTTTTTTTTTTTTTTTTTTTTTTTCAGTTGAAAAGGCGTTGGGATCTGTGTGATTTCCCATGGGGCGACCCACTGCTCTGGCTGAAATAGCCGTGCTGAGATTCGTGATGCTTTTTTGCCTGAGAATCTCCTGGCCTGGCTCCCTGTGTCAGTCCCCTGTTTTATCAGCTGAATGGGTGACTCTGTCTCCCAGGAGCTCCAATCACCAGCTAAAATGGTACCCGGACCCATGTTGGCAACCCATGGGGCTCCTCCACCTGGGAATCTCCTGGTCTGTGGGCAATAAAAATCTGTCTGGAAATGCAGCGTCCACTCACCCTCCCCACTTTCGCTGGGAGTTGGCTGCAATCCTGAGCTGCTCCTAATCAGCCATCTTGGATCCGTCTCCCACACTTGAACATTTTAAATGTAATCTAGCCTCAATTTCTAAGTTTCATATATTCAACTGGTATGTTACAGAAACTAATAGTGAGAAATTGTCATCTGAATTAACTGCTAGGCAGCAGGACCTATATAATAAACTGCAAAGGGCTAATATCCGGAATCTATGAAGAACTTAAATTTTAAAAAATAACTGTGATCTCAGCTCACTGCAACCCCTGCCTCCTGGGTTCAAGCAATTCTCCCAGGTTCAAGTGATTCTCCTACCTCATTCTCCCAAGTAGCTGGGATTACAGGTGCACGCTACCACACCCGCTAATTTTTATATTTTTAGTAGAGAGGAAGTTTCACCATGTTGCCTAGGCTTTCAAACTCCTGATCTCAGGTGATCTTCTTGCCTTGGCCTTCAGTAATGCTGGAATTACAGGTGTGAGCCACCACACCCAGCCTATATTTTATTTTATTTTATTTTGAGACAGAGTCTCACTCTGTTGCCAGGCTAGAGTGCAGTGGTGCAATCTCAGCTCACGGCAGTCTCTGCCTCCTGGGTTCAAGCAGTTCTCCTTTGTCAGCCTCCCAAGTACTGGGACTACAGGCGCACACTACCATGCCCAGCTAATTTTTTGTATTTTAGTAGAGACGAGGTTTCACCATTTTGCCCAGGTTGATCTCAAGCTCTTGAGCTCAGGCAATCTGCCCGCCTCAGCCTTCCAAAGTGCTAGGATTACAGGCATGAGCCACAACATCCAGCCTCCCCCATCTTTAAAAATAAATAGAAGTGTGACCCCATGTCTCCCTCTAGATATTGACCTTTTGCTTTTCTTCACAGCCAGCTCTGAAGTATCTGTAGTCAATCACAATTCCTCACTTCCATCCCACTTTTCTACCCAGTTTAATCTGGATTCTGCCCCCACTACTTTACAAAGCATTCTCAATAAGATCACTAGTAGTTTCTATTTTATTAGGCCTCTTAACAACATTAAACCCTCCTTTCTGGTTTTCCTCTTCTCTAAAATCACTTTTTTTTTGGACAGGATCTGTCACCCAGGCTGGCACTCTCATAGCTCACTGCAGCCTCGAATTCCTAGGCTCAAACGATCCTCCCAACTCAGCCTCCTGAGAAGCTGAGACTACATGTGCATGCCACCACACCCATCTTGATCAGTCTCTTAGTTGCCAGTTCTTTACTTGCTATAGCTTCTCAGGGTTTTGTCCCATAAGCCCTCTTCTCTTCAGCCTGTACATACTTGCTAGTCTCTCCCATTCACTACCAGAGTCAATGACAGATTGAGGCACTTCACACATACACTTCTCTCCTAAACTTCAACCTGTAATCCATTGATCTGCCTGCTAGACATCTTCACTTAGAGATTTCTTAGGCTCCTCAAACCCAACAAACCCCCAAACTCCTCTTGCCTCATCAAACTTGTTCCATCAGTGTTCCACACCTTGGAAAATGGCACCACTGTGCAAGCCAGCTCCAGCCAGAAATCTAGGAGTCATCCTTGGCTTTCCTCTCACTTCACATTTATCAGCCTCCTAGTCCTGTTGATCTTTATCTTAAGGATCCTTTAAATCCATATATTTCTATTGCCAGTGCTACCACTCAAGTCCAGACAACCATGACCTCTCATCTGGGTTACTAGACTAGCTTCTAAAGGAGTCTTCAGTGTTCACTTACACTCTTCACCCCTACTCCACTTTATATTCTGCCATTATCTTTAAGAAAGCTCTGTATAACCTGGTCCCTCCCCGCTTTCCCTGCCTCTTTGCAAGCCTTACCACTCTTGCCTTAGCTTTCTGTCCTCCAGCCCTGCGGGCCTTTTTTTAGTTCCACAAACACGCACATTCTTTTCTCCCCTTCCAACCTCCCTACTTGCTGTTCCTTCCTGCGCTCTTTCCCATAGTCCTCAACAGAGAAACTTCTATGTCATCTCTTCCTCAAATAAATCATCCCCAGTACAGCTGACTAGTTTTCTTGCCTTGTTAATTCCTCTTGAATCATGAATCTTTTCAGTGTCCCCAAATCACATATAATTTTTGGTGTCGTGTCCCTCTTTCCCACTAACCTACAAGAGCCATGGAGGCCAGGGACCATGTCTGACTCATTCACTATTGAATCCCTGCAGTTTAATATAGTGCCTGGCACATAAACATTATTTGTCGAATGGATAAATGAGAACATAGAAGCTGTTTCTCAAAGAAAAAATAACAGTCCATCATCCTCCCTGGCCTAGCAGCAGAAGACAACATGCAACATTCATCAGTAGAACTTTTCATGCTTGCTTAAGAGCAAGCTCAGGGGTTGATGAACTTAAGCAACCTGACAGAAAATAAGGAACTCCCTAAACTTGAACATCTAACTGTGGACATCTCGCCAGTTTATTTGCTGAGTTCAGAGAGTTTCTCACATTTTATATAGTTGTAATCCATGTCTGAGCACTATCTTAGTTCTGCTTTTTACAGATTTCCACCCTTAATTACTGCTTACTTGTGTTTAAAGGTAATGTGGTTACATTATATTAATGGATTGTTATTTTCTTGGCCATTTCCCCACAGCCGGGCTTTTTTGTTTGTTCTGGTTTGAGATTGTCATGAATAGCAGGGCTACAAACATTCTTTTTTTTTTTTTTTTTTTTTTTTTTTTTTGAGGTGGAGTTTCACTGTTGTTACCCAGACTGGAGTGCAATGGCACGATCTCAGCTCACCACAACCTCTGCCTTCTGGGTTCAAGCAATTCTCCTGCCTCAGCCTCCCGAGTAGCTGGGACTATAGGCGCACACCACCATGCCCAGCTAATTTTTGTATTTTTAGTAGAGACGGGGTTTCACCTTGCTGACCAGGATGGTCTCGATCTCATCACCTCGTGATCCACCCGCCTCGGCCTCCCAAAGTGCTGGGATTATAGGCGTGAGCCACCGCACCCGGCCCAAACATTCTTCATAAGTAACTTATTTCACATGTTCTCCTTGAATGCAAAGTGGGATTAAGATGTCAAAACATGAACAGTTTATATCCTATCGTATAGATAGCCAGAGAATTGTCTAAAAAGAAAGAATCAAGATATAGTACCATCAAAATTCTATGATACAAACCTATCTCTAGTTCCATATAGCCCTACCAACATAGGGGGTGGGTTGTTTTCTTTTTTTAGAGAGAGAGTCTTAATGTGTCACCCAGGCTGGAATGTAGTGCTACAATCATAGCTTACTGCAGCCTTGAACTCAGGCTCCAGCAATCCTCCAACCTCAGCCTCCCAAGTAACTTGGACTACGGGGACACACCACCATACCCGACTGATTTTTTATTCTTTTAGAGACAAGGTCTTGCAATGTTGCCCAGGCTGGTCTTGAACTCCTGGCCTCAAGTGATCCTCCTGCTTCCCAGAGTGTTGGGATTACAGGCATGGCCAACATTCGGTTTTGCATTTGCTACATGTATTTCTTGAAGCTTAACAGAAAACTAATATTTTTTTAGGTATTTCTGTGTGTCAGAAACATTAAGGATTTGACATGAAGTTTCCCATTTAATAAATCACCATAAACCTATAAGGACTATTCGTATCTCTCTTTTAGAGATGAGGAAACTAAGGCTTAGAGTTGTCCAAGTAAATCGAAGGAGTTTCAATGTAGATGTACTGATTCCAGAACCTGTATTCTTAACTACTATGCTGTACTGTCTCTCCTGGTTGTTAGTGTCAGTGTTTTTTCTGTTTTATTTGACAGGAAAAATTGTTAATAAACTCTATAACCTTTCTGATTTCCAGGAGTGTGGTATAATTTATTGCTAGAGAGCTTGTTTCGTTGAGGTAAACATCTAGATGGAGCTTTTTGATTAAGAAAGGTCAACCCCCAGGGTTTAGCCTGTGTAGGCCAGGACAATACAAGAGAGATCAGTTACTTCAAATAATACAGTGAAATAAATGTGGATTTTCATCAGATGCCCTAGAGAAAGAGAATGAGGCCTAGGAAAGAAAGAAGTAGGGAAAGGTTAATGAAGAGAACTGAGATGAAAAGCATTCTGGAAAAATGGCAGGAGACAGGGGCCTACCAGAAGACATGGCCATGGAGAAGTTCCCTACTATGTAGAGAACGGCTGTTCAATTTCTGTAAGCAATCATCTATGTATTGAATTTGAAGTTTTCTGCTTTGTGACATAGCCTTCCATTAACTAAACCTTTCATGCAATTTGGATATACTCAACCATGTTGGTGGGGGATCATTCGGAGGTATGAAAGGTGAGGAGTGGCACATGATGAGGCAAAAAGGAAATAGTCAAAGGGACAGGGGACAAGCAGGCTGCGTCACATCTGCAGGAGGCATGGAAGGAACCGTGGAAACTCTTGGAGAAACTGAGGTCTCAGGACTTCCCCACAGTGGTTAGAAATGGGTCTCAGGCCATTTTGTATTGAAAGAGTGATCCTTAAACACTAAATTATTTGGAGTTGTCCAAGTTGGAAATTTCTGGGTTACACTGAAGTGGGAAGGAGCTTTTCTTGAACCACAGTAAAATAAATTTGACATATTAGCAGCATTTGTCACAGCCTCTGCCTTGATGTATGGTATGAAATAATTAGCTTCCAGGATACCAAACTCTTCTGGTTTTCCTCCTTCTCATCAGGCATCCTTAGTTTCCTTTTGCTAGTTCTTCCTTTTCTTCCTGATCTTTTATTAACAATGTGTGACAGGGTTCAGTTGTTCATTCTTTCTTCTGTCTACAGACTCGGTCCCTGGACCTCATCCAGTCCCATGCTTTTAAACACCATCCATATGGTGACAGCTCCCAAATTTACTTACTTACTTACTTACGTACTTATTTGAGATGGAGTTTCGCTCTTGTTACCCAGGCTGGAGTGCAGAGGCGCTTTCTCGGCTCACCGCAACCTCCACCTCCTGGGTTCAAGCGATTCTTCTGCCTCAGCCTCCTAAGTAGCTGGGATTACAGACATGCACCACCTCTCCCAGCTAATTTTGTATTTTTCGTAGAAACAGGGTTTCTCCATCTTGGTCAGGCAGGTCTCGGACTCACAACCTCAGGTGATCCACCCACCTCGACCTCCTTTGCAAAGTGCTGGGATTACAGGCATGAACCACCATACCCGGCATTTTTTTTTTTTTTTGAGATGGAGTCTTGCTCTGTCACCATGCTGGAGTGCAGTGGCATGATCTCAGCTCACCACAACCTCTGCCTTCTGGGTTCAAGCAGTTCTCCTGCCTCAGCTTCCTGAGTAGCTGGGACGACAGTCATGTGCCACCATGCCTAGCTAATTTTTGTATTTTTAGTAAAGACGGGGTTTCACCATGTTAGCCAGGATGGACTTGATCTCTTGACCTTGTGATCCACCTGCCTCAGCCTCCCAAAGTGCTGGGATTACAGGCGTGAGCCAACCCACCCAGCCAACAGTTCCCAAATTTTTATCTCCCAGACTTCTTTCCTGAACCCCAGACTCAGATAGCCTATTGCCCACTTGACATCCCACCACTTGGATGTCTAAAACTCAGCTCAAACTGAGTATGTCCAGTACTGCATTTCTGATCCTCCTTCCAAAAAGCTTTACCACTCATGGCTTTCTCCTCCTCCATTCTTTCAAGCCAAAAAACATGAAGTCATCCTTATGACTCCTTTTCTGTTATACTCCATATCCAGTGTAACAGGCAGTCCTGTCATTTCTATATTCAGAATATATCTAGAATCTGCCTGTTACCACCATCTCTACTTCTGCCGCCCTAGTCAGAGTCATCATCTTCCCTAACTTTAAGGAAGAATTTCTCCTAACTTATCTCCCTGCTTCCACCTTTCCCTCCCTAGCAGTCAAGTTTGATCTTTTTGAAATCTGAATAACAAAAGATTATTGTTCACTCATCTGCTCCCCATTTCACCGGGAGTCAAAACCACAGTTCTTACAATGATCTTATATGATCTCCCAGCCTTCCCCCTTTGACTTCATCTAGTTCTGGCCCTTCTTGTTCTCTGTCTTCCAGCTACACCTGTATCCTTCAGCTGCGCTTGCATCCTTGCTGTTCCTGAACAAGCCAGGCACCCTCCCTTCCACCTTAGACTTTTTGCATTGGCAAAAAGTCTACCTGGAATATTACACAAAGCTTATTCTCTCATTTCTTTTTCTTTTTTCTTTTTTTTGGTGGGGGCGGGGTACAGAGTCTCACTCTGTCACTGGAGTGCAGCGGCACAATCTTGGCTCACCACAACCTCCACCTCCCAGACTCAAGCAATTCTCCTGCCTCAGCCTCCTGAGTAGCTGGGATTACAGGCTTGCACCACTACTGCCCAGCTAATTTTTTTATTTTTAGTAGAGAGAGGGTTTCACCACGTTGGCCAGGGTGGTTTCAAACTCCTGACTTCAAACAATCCACCCGCCTGGGCCTCCCCAAGTGCTGGGATTACAGATGTGTGCCAGCCCTATTGTCTCATTTCTTAGAAGTCTACTTAATATCAACTTCTCTGTTGGACCTTCCCTGATAATCATCATCTAATTGTGTTGCCTATAAGCATTTCCAATCCTTCTTTTCCTGTTTTTTTGTTCTTTCTTCTTCATCATTTATCACCTTCTAACATACATATAATTTATCCTAGTTACTTATTGTCTCTGTCCCCTCATCACTAGAATACACAGACTCCACGAAGGCAAAGACCTGTGTTTGCTTTGTTCACTAATATATTCCATGCTCTTAGCACAGTGCCGAGTCACTGTAGTCAATAATAATTACTTTGTTAAAAAAAAATCTGGGCTGGGCATAGTGGCTCATGCCTATAATCTCGACCCTTTGGGAGGCCAAAGTGGGCGGATCACTTGAGGTCAGGAGTCCGGGACTACCCTGACCAACATGGTAAAACGCCATCTCTACTAAAAATACAAAAATTAGCCGGGTATGATGGTAGGCATTTGGAATCTCAGGTACCTGGGAGGCTGACGTAGGAGAATCACTTGAAACCAGGAGGTGGAAGTTGCAGTGAGCCGAAATGCACCACTACACTCCACCCTGGGTGACAGAGCAAGACTCCATCTCAAAAAAAAAAAAAAAAACCACCCCTACCAACGGAATGAAAACAGGAATCTAAAGGCATTTTCCTTTAGGCCAGGAATCAGCAAAATTTTCCTTAAAGGGTCAGATATGGTCAGATGGTCTCTGTCATAACTACTCAGCCCTGCCATTGGAGCTCTAGAGCAGCCAGAGAGAGTACGTAAACAAATGGGCATGGCTGAGTTCCATTAAAACTGTGTATTTGCAAAAAGCTGGCCAAGGCCGTACAGCAGTCTGTACTTAGCTGATTCCTGCTTTAGACAAAGACACATCTTGGCAAACCAGCTCTCTTCATTGATAGGCCGGGCTGTATTCATCCCCTCTCCCAATTGCCAAAAACAAAATTGTAGAAGGGTGAATGCAAACCTAGCAAAATTATAGATCACTAGCTTCTCTGCCCACATGCACATTAGGGGCATTCCTTACTCAATGTGCCCGTTGGCTAAGTTGTGATTTGGGAGGTGAAGTAGAGAGAGAAATCCTGCTATCAGCCACTTTCCTGCTAATGAGTTTTGAGCACATTATCTGTAGCTCTGGAATATTCTCTAGAGATTTCTAATAGGCAGGATGATCTGCTTCTGAAGCCTCTTTTCTTTATGCCATCAATTCTTTGGCACTGACGATGAATTTCCTGTGGCAAGGAAACCATTTTTTACTTTTATCAGCTATTCTGAAAGTCAGTAGACTGACGCAGTTATGAAAATACCTGCCAATATTATAAGGTCCAGGCCCTAATTTCCTGCCTTCTAAAGCAATGATACTCAATTAAGGGTAGTTTACTCTGGAGACACAGGTTGTCATAACCAGGGGTGGGGGCTGCTACTGGCATCAAGTAAGCAGAGGCCAAGGATGTGGCTTAGAATCTAACAATACACAGGATAACCCCCTATAACAAAGAATTAGCCAATCTGAAATATTAGTAGTGCTGAGGTTGAGAAACCATGTTCTAGACGCTTCTACTGAACTTTTAATCCACCTTGTACTCTGCTGAGAAACCAATATCACTAAACCATCACATTTCTTCTTCATTCCTAAACTCCAGTAGCTCCTCACCACCTGGGAGACTAAATTTGTCCTTGTCATCCTGGCATTTAGCTCCTGGGGGATTCTGCCCACGTACACATTCATTCTCTGCTTCTTTCAAGTTTTTATCTCTACCATCCTCCACACTACCATCCTTTAACTGATGTTACCCCGCAAACACACATTTTGGGAAGATCCTCCCCACCTTTCTCCTCAGATCCAAATCTTACTCATTCTTTGAAGCCCACACATGCCACATGCCCCTCTACCATTGAGTCTGCCTATACCACTGCCTTTTGCACTTACACAGGCTCACCCATCTTCCACTGTTATATTGCTGTTCTCACGTCCTCAGTTACTCCCTGAAGGGGTCCCTATTGTATTTCTGGCCTATTAATCTCAGTTTCCACAGTGTAAAGTGTGAAAATTGTATTTGTGTATTGAGACTGTCTTGTATTGAGAGTCAAATGAGATAATGGGTATGAAAAGCACCCTATATACGGCCTGGTACACAATTTTAAGTGCTTAGAAAATTATAGTATCATAGTATCTATAGAAGTACGCATTTAGCCTCCCATAAAACGTGCTTAATAAACCATTTAAATATAGTTATATACTGGAGAGAGCATGCCACGCAGACTAGTCTGGTATTTGGAACTAACAGCAAAGAAAAACTTCCATAGAAATCCTACACCGATTAACACGCCTTCATGCTAGACTGAATCCAAGAGCAGGGGTGTCACGTTTTCCCAGAGTGGTGCCCAACCCAACCTTTCTGCATTTAGCAAGTTAATGAACAGCTTGTAAATAACTCTTTGCCCACTCTGGCCCAGTTTAGAAGGCCACCAATAGACTATCAGTATGCCACAATGTCTGCTTTGCTGGGGACCCTGCTGTATTCTCCCCAAGTGCTTCTGCTTTCAGCTGGTGGAGAGTCTGATGGCCTAGAGAAGCTGCACAGTGGGATGAGGCCAAGGCGAGGGCCTGGCCTTTCCCCAGGCGGAAGAGAGCCTTGTCTCAGATCCTGAGAGAGAAGTGAGTGGGGGCATGGCATTCCGAGCAGCCCAGGTTTGGCTTTGGGCCAGGCACTGAGTGGCAAACAAGAAGGAACACATTCCGGGAAGGCAAGGAGCCCTGCCAGCACGAAGGCGGTGGCAAATGCAGGGCCCTGCTGGGCGCCAGGTGCTCCTTGGCTCTATGGAGGTCAGGCACACAGGGGGATGAACTCAGGTTTCTCTGGATTATCATTTCAGAGACTTAATGCCTCCCGCCTTCTCGCTGTCAGTGGACAGAGCATATGGAACTGTTAAATGTTAAAACTCTCTGCTCTGGGGTCCTGCACTCTCTAAATAAAGATAGGAGGGGAAAGAGTGTTGTTGCCATGATGAAATCATACTTTACAGGAACCAGACTTGGGTAATTCTGTGCCCAAGAGAAAATGCTACTCCAAACAAGGGCAGGTTGGAGAAGAACTTGGGATTTCTATGCCCTAGAAGCTGTGCTCTCCACCCTTGCAGCCCAGAAACACAAACACAGACACTTGTTCTTCACACCTGCCTTCCTACTGGCCAGAGCTGGGGGCAGTCTGGAGAGACACTGTCCTTTCAGCATCAGTGCTGGCCCTTCCCCAGGTGATGAGAGAAGAGAGAGAGGAGGACCAAAGTGGATTGAGCTGTTCTTTTCAGGGGAAATGGCCACACAAGCCTTACCAAAGAATCCCTTCTTCCGTTAGGTAGGTAGGTGAGCTGGACTAGAAGGGCCCTGGGCCTGTTGTACCCAGCAAGGAAGCGGGAGCTTTCTCTGAGGGAGGAGAATAAAGTTTTACTCATCCCTCTGCCTCTGGGTCTTTTTGCTGGACTTTGCTGCCCCCTAGTGGCTCAGCTGTCATCTCTTCCGTCTCAGAGAGAGAACCAGCCTTGGATTGAGTTTGAGGCTCTGGCCTTTTTCTGTCTGGTCCTGAGGTAACCTAGAGATCCTTCTCTGAGAACTTTCTTTGCTCTAGGACTCCTGGTTTTATGGCCCAGCAGCTAGGAGAGAAGAGCACCACGGGCTTCCAGGCCTCACCCACTCTGGCAGTCGTGTCGAGGGGCCATGGCTGGCTGGCTGGGCACCTGGGAGTGGGGGTGGGGGTAGTTTGTTATTCCCAGGACTTCTCAGTGTATGAAGTCGTCCCTGAGTCCCCCTTATTTCTGAATGCCTTTTCCACTAACAATCCTGCCCCTACCATGACCCTTCCTTTCTGCTAAGGCCCATGTTGCAAAACTGAGGCTCTGGCATAATGTATATTTCCCTTGTTTCTCCAAATTTAAGATAGTTATTTCTCCCTGATAAAGTTAGCTCATTGCCATGATAAATATATGATTATAATGCCTTCTCTGTGATGCTGCTGCTACGAATCAGTTCCTGGGAATAGTGAGGGGTGGACACACTTTAAAGAATTTTATTGGGTTGGTTTCTCTATGCCCCTGAAAAGCCTATGGATTATTAGCTGTATTTTTCTGTGTATTATATCCAGGTGTTTATTTCCTCTAGCAAAGGAAAGCATTTGGTTTCAACAACCACTGATCTGCCCTGCCAAACTTTCCAATCTGAGCTCTAATACCCAGGGAATACATAAAATCAAAATTCTTCTGCCTACCCCACCAACCTCTTTTAACTTTAAAAAATTATGGTAAAATGACATAAAATGTACCATCTTACCCATATTTGGTGTACAGTTCTGTAGTGTTAAGTATGTTACACTATTGTGCAACCAATCTCCTGAAATCTTCATCTTGCAAAACTGCAACTCTATACCCATTAAACAGTAATTGTCCATTTGGCTCCTGGCAACCCCCGTTCTGCTTTTTGTCTCTATGAATTTGACTGCTCCACATACCACCTATAAGCAGAATCATATATTATTTGTCTTTGTTTTTTAAGAGATGGGGTAGCTATGTTGCCCAGGCTGGTCTCAAACTCCTGGCCTCAAGTGATCCTCCCTCCTGCACAGCTGGAATTACAGGCATGGGCCACTGCACCCTGCCCAGTATTTGTGGGGGGTTTTGTTTTCATTTCTGTTTTTCTTTTTACAAGCCTGGATTCCAGAATTTTTTTTTTGGACTGGCTTATTTCACTTAGCTTAATGTCCACAAGGTTCATCAATGTTATAGCATGTGTCAGACATTATAGCATGTTTTTTCCTTCTCAAGGCTGAATAATATTTCATTGTATATATATTTACATATCCATGGATGGATGAATATGCATATATATTTCATTTTACGTACATATATAGAATATATATATAAACATATGTATATGTTTATTTATCCATGGATGGACACTTGAGTTGCTTCTACTTTGATTATTGTATATAATGTTGCTATGAATATGTGTGTTCAAGTATTTCTTCAAGTTAGGCCCTGGAGGTCAAGGCTGCAGTGAGCTGTGATCACACCTCTGTACTTCAGTCTGGGTGACAGAGTGAGACCCTGTCTTTGAAAAAGAAAGAAAAATTTTGATTATTCTCAGTTCTTTTGGCTATATACTCAGAAGTGGAATTGCTGGATCATATAGTAATTCTGTTTTCAATTTTTTGAGTAGCTGCTGTCTTATTTTACACTGTTGTTACACCGCTTCGCGTTCCCGCCAACAGTACAATTCTTCACATCTTCACCAACCCAGCCCACGTCATTCCCAGGGTTACTAATTCCCCATATCTTCACCAACACTTGTTTCTGTCTCTTTTCTGTTCTTTGAGAGTAGCCATTCTAATGAATGGGAAGTCGTATGGTTTTGACTGGCGTTTCCCTAACAATTAGTGATGTTGAAGCTCTTTTCATTGGTTATTGGCCATCTGTGTATCTTTAGGGGAATGTCTATTCAAATCCTTTGCTTTTTTTTTTTTTTGAGATGGAGTCTCACTGTCGCCCAGGCTGGAGTGCAGTGGTGTGATCTCTGCCTCCCCGGTTCAAGCCATTCTCCTGCCTCAGCCTCCCAAGTAGCTGGTATTACAGGCACCTACCACAACATCCAGCTAAGTTTTATATTTTTAGCCTAACACGGTGACGGGGTTTCACCATGTTAGGCTGGTCTCAAACTCCACCTTGTGATCTGCCCGCCTTGGCCTCCCAAAATGCTGGGATTACAGGCGTGAGCCACTGTGCCTGGTCTTTTTTTTTTAAAAGACAGTCTTGCTCTGTTACCCAGGCTGGAGTGCAGTGGTGTAATCTTGGCTCACTGCAACCTCTGCCTCCTGGGTTCAAGCTATCCTCCCACCTCAACTTCCTGAGTAGCTGGGACTGTAGGTGCATGCCACCATGCCTGGCTAATTTTTGTTTTTTTTTAGTAGAGTTTCGGTTTCACCATGTTGGCCAAGCTGGTCTCAAACTTCTGGGCTCAAAGAGATCCACCTGCCTCTGCCTCCCAAAGTGTTGGAATTATAGGCATGAGCCACTGGGTCCAGTCTTTTGCCCATTTTTCAGTCGGGTTTTGTTGTTGTACTGAACTCTGTAACCTCTTTTCATGTTACTCTCTCACTTAGAATCCTAGGATACTAACATGCAGAGAGCATCTCTGCTCCTCAGAGACAAACATGCCCTCTCCTACCTTTTGCAGTTGCTGACTCTTCTCATGACTGACTTCTCATCCTTCAAGCACCAGCCCGTCACTTTGGAGAACTTTGAGTCATCTAAAGCCATCTCCCTCTTTACCACTGTTTATCACACTTCCTCATGTCCCTGTTTCTTCTTGAAAATCACTATCTGCATTTATCTTCTTCGTTTCCATTTTTACTTGGAATATACCTGTACATGGAATGACAGTTAAGTTCCCTGGGATGCAGACATGCCTGCTATGTTTATGGCTATGTCTCCAGTGCCCAGCTTAGCACCTGGCATGTAGTCTTGGCTCAGTATTTACTGAATGAATGAATCACTACTAGAGGGGGCATTGCAGGGAAAAAGAAGGTGATGTGGCCCAAACTGGAATTTTACCTCTTTACCTAGGCTCTGGGTCATAGAAAAGGCCAACCAAGCTTTCTGGCTCTGAACTCCACACATTAATTCCTGGATCAGAAGCACAGTCCTGTTTGAGCCAGGGACATTGCTTTGGAGTTGCTTAGAGGAAATAGGTAAATATTCTTGGTGTCCACCCAACCGAGGCAGAAGGCTGTGGGGATTTGCCATGGCTACCCTCACTCTTCCCCATACGCCTGAGGTATAAGTCAGCTCGGCTAAAGTCCTTTGAGATTTGCAGAGTACTTGAGATTATGGGAATGACTTGGGTTCCATCAGTCTCCTGGGGTCTGAGTCTGTCAGTCAGAGTACCTGCAGTGAATAGTCAGAAGATGAAAATGAACTTTCCATACCATAACACACTAGAAAAATCAAGTTTATTTTAAAATATTTTTAAAGGCTAATGCCATAGCAAAAATAACCCAAGAGTGGCTGAACCAAACTCAGAGAATTAAAGGAGCATCAGCCAATGCAAGCAGGTCTATATAAAATACACATTGTTTATAAATGTGTACAGCAGAAGGCACAGCAGCCCCAGAGGGCCAGACAGGGACAACAGGGAGAAACAGAGGGCCATCTGGAGGGACAGGCACGCCCATACCACTCAAAGCCCTGGGCCCCAAGTGCACCTCCAAAGTCACCTACCCTGCAGCATAGCTCTTGCCCTTTCTGAGCCTGGGTATAGCTGGAGACCAAGTTCACCTGCATCTTGGCACATCCACCTATAATTGGCACCTCTCATGGCCTCTAACAACCCAGCAAAGCTCAGTGAATGGATTTGTTCTCCCTGCCTTTCAGCAAGAACCAGAGAGAAGTACTGAGGCAAGAAAGGTTATTTCCCTAGAAAAGACTGATGAAAGGGTGAAAAGGGCTGGTTCCAAATAAAAAGGATGGCCGTTCATGGAACAGTGAGTTTCCCCTGAGACATACAGATTTGGTGCAAGCAACACAAAAGGCCAGGCTCTAGGCTTCATCCTAAAAACTGGGAGGGGGAGAGCATGAAGAGACCACTTACTGGGAGTCCCTCCAATCCTCATTTGGGTTTGTCATAAATGGGACAGACAATAGTCTGCTCCACAATAAACAGTTACCACCTGGATTTCGTTCCCTGATTAACCTCTCAGTGTCTGAAGAGGGGAAAACAGTGGCTGATACCACCCACCCCATCAGCAGCAACTTTCCCTGATATTTCTGGCCTTCTAAGAGACCCTTTCAGAACCCCCAAAGCCACTATCTTAGCAGATGGGAGTCCCAGGGAGATCAGGCCAGAGTTGTAGGGCACAGAGAAGCTTTTTAGAATAGAGAAGGCCCTGAAAGAGAAGGACAGCTCCCCAAGGCAGAATCATCACCGCATTCAACCTCCTCATCCCC